ACATTGCTTTAATAACAAATAAATAATGTTATTTATTTGGATGATTTATTACTTCCCTTTTATTACCTTATCATTTCATGATCCCATCTATTTCAAATAGTTGCAGAATTAAAAAATAAATTATGTTAATCAAAAATGTACATCAAGACAGGGAAGCGCACATGTCCCTTTATTATTTGTATATATAAAATAGGAATAAATTGTTTCAACCTATCTTTGTATACAGTAATTACATCAGCAATTTAAAATAAAGGGAAATGCTTGATTGGAATGTTAAGTACCTAGTAAAGTGCTATTCCTGTCTTTCAGTTCCAGCTGTTCCAGCAACATAAACAAAAGGCAGAGGACTGAAGTGCTATATACAAAAATGTAGTTTCCCCATGGAATCTTATTTGCCAAAAATATCAGAATAATATAAGGAGGCAAGGACCCCTCTGTAGGGGCTTCTACAGGGTTGTGATGACAGCTGCAGTTATTCAAAGCGACCATCCCTTTTGTACATGTGCTATATGACATGTATGTAAAAAGAATGGGATTCCAATCACATAATTTTAGCTTCTCTCAGTGGCCACCTGTGCCTCTATCCCTTTTCTCTTGGGCAGTATCAGTGGCCTCCAGGATTGGCTGGAGCATCAATGGGATCTACAGCCTATCACTTGTAGTACCCTGATACCAGTTTGCAAAATGGACCATTACCCTATTTAGTTTTCCAATTCTTCAATTAAGACTGCAGCCATTTTTAAAAATCTAAACATGCCTAAATTGAGTGCCTCTATATCACATATGGAAGATGTGATGACTCAAATATTAAAGATGTGAGCTTATCAGACAGCCTGGGGTTCAAGACTCAGGCATTGTGTGATGGGGTGAGCTCTCATTCCTGCCAACCTAGCAATGTGAAAGCATGCAAATGTGAATAAATAGGTACCATTTTAGTGTGCCTCAGCATATAGTCATGCTGGCCACATGACCACAGAAATGTCTTTGGAGATGAGCACACACATACCCCCTTTAGTTGGTCACAATTGGACAGGGCAAACCTTTACCTTTTCGTATCACGTATAGTGTCAGCCCAAGTGCTATAATTACACTGAAAATACGTAATCTCTATTAACCAAGGTGTTAGAAATGAACAGTGAAAGCAGAACTAGGATAACACTGCTTCAATGGAGACGAAGCTAAATTCTCAAACACTTCAAATAGCCTGTAATTGAGTACAAGTTTGAATATGGTATGCAACTTTTGAGGGTAATAACCTGGTATCTCTCTTTGGGGATATATCTTTCCGGTTCTCTCAGTTCCTTAATTTTCTCCTTCCACACATGTAGTAGACATTCATCATTCTAAGGCCACTGAACATGATGAATCTTCAGCAGGTTGGTTTCCTGGTGAGGGAGGAATTGCCTCCTTAAATCTTTATTTTCTCTGTAATTTCCCTGAAGATCTTATGACTCCCCCGAGCCTACTAATATCTTCCCCTTGTGTGCAGTTGGGCTACAAAAGCAACAATATTTATCTCTGAACATTGTTAATGGAAGCTTTTGATGGCTGTCTTGTCTCTAAAAATCAGCTCTGCTTACATGCTTCCAATAAGATCAATGATGTTGATGAGTACAAGTGATACAAGATTTTCTTGAGTTGATTTGTTCCTTGAGCAACGACATGCCACGAGATGAAAACATGACTCCCTAGTTGACTCTTTTTAAATGTGTGTAACTGACTGAATTCTCCAGTTTTTTTTAACTAAACTAATTTTCACTCCTATTAATATTTCCTATTACAGTGGTTTTTTAAAAGTTTTGTGCAACAAGACTTTTGCTTACAAATTGCCTAGGGATAGCTTTTGCTAAATAAAAAAGGCCACTACAAAAGTATTATAAATAAAATAGGAGTGATTAGTAATGGCTGTGGTGCTTTGAAGCCAATACATATTTATCCATGCAGTAAGATATGGATTGCTAGAACTGACAAATTTCCATTCACAGAAAGGTTTGGGGCACTGGAATTTTTTTTCTTCTCTACTAGGATTCATTAATTCCACAGCTGAATTCAGTGCCTGATAATATAGAAGCTATTCTTACCGGTAGTTAGCAAGGCACACAGCAGATACGGTATATTGGCTTTTTAATACTAGCTTTTTAAACCTCGTTTAGGACTTCCAAATGTGGGATGGAAAACCACTAGGTGGCAGCAAACATATAGGAAAAATAACCCTTTGTGCCACCCAGTGGTTGTTCAAATTTTTGCAGTGTAATCTTGCAGTGTTATGCCCATTTCTCTAAAACGTTGTTTACATACTCATTGCTCTAATTTTCCCAGAATAAACTGTTGAACGGGTTGATGTCTAAAAGTTTCACCCCACTTCACCTATAACAATCAATTGTAGTTATAAGTCAATATCCAAAGTGGCTCCGCTACAAGATGTGCAAAGATGTGGAAAGGGACCTTCTTGGCCGTTGTCCTGAGGTTATGGATCCTTGTGGTAATTGTTAGTATCTCTTGTTGTAAGCAACTGTTCTTTTCTGTACCAACCCCCTTTGATGTCAACTTTCTCTACTTCTGTGACAGTAAAACTTTGCACCCTCAATCACATTTACTTCAGAATTAAGGTGACCAACTTTTTTACAATGAAAAGGAGGACACAAATAAATTGAAGAAAAAAATATCGTAAATAAAAGAAACATTTTATTCATTGCATCAATAATACAGAATACACTATATGATAAATGCATAATAAAAACATTTGTAACAATAACATTTTATATTGTAATTATGCTTACATGCCACCCCACCAGCACTGTTCCCCCGCCGTGTAGAGTGGGCCCCATGGCTCCCAAAGCACCAGCTGTGCCGGCTCCGCCCCGGGGGGGGCAGCCCGTCGACACACCCCGCCTGCAGCTGCCCCGCCAGCACCACCGCCTACCCTGCGCAGCCCTGTGTAGAGCAGGCCACGCGGCTCCCACAGCACGGGTGGGGCAGTCAGCCAATGCCGCCCCTCACACCCCCGCCCACAGAGCTCCACCGCCCCTGCCTCTTGCCCCACAGCCATTATTGCCCTAGCAGGGCCGAAGATCAAGAGAAAGTTACCGTGGCGTCGCCGCTCCAGTCTCCTCCAGGTATCTTCGGGACTAACTAGGAGATGGTGTAGTTGGGTAGCAGGGATGGGTGCAAAGTTCCTGCCAATTCGCCTTCATTGCAGACAACTTACATGTGCAAAGTTTGCTGGCCAGGTGTTTTGGCATGCTCAGCAGCAATTCCTATTGGCTTTCCAAAGCCAATAAGGGAAGTAGCACAGCTCATGCAAAAGTTGAAAAAAAAAACCATCAAAAAAGGGTGCCAGAATGCTGTTCTGAGCATTCTATGGGGGGAAAAAAAGCCCTGCAGATTAGTCTTCAAATATCGAAAAGGAGGACATGTAGGAGGACACTTTTTAAGGGAGGACAGAATTCACAAAAGAAGGACTGTCCTCCCTAAAGGAGGGCAGTTGGTCACCTTATCAGAATAGCAGTGTTAAATATTTCAGTGTTATATTTATGTGATGTTACTTCTGATCTATTAAGATTTGTAGGAAGGGCAGGGCCTGTACCAAAATGAGTTAGAATGGTATTAATGGGATTTGGGGTGCATCTGGGTTGGATCAGTTTATGCACAATTCCCATCAGAAAACAGAAATTGCACTTTCTTCTTGTGGTTTGCTTCCAACATTCAGTAGCACAATTACCAGAAGGTTGCATGCTGTGCCACTTGTTTTATAATCTATAACTAAGCATTTTTATTTCATATATATTTCATTTCAAATAAGGACTTCCCAGCTGGTACAGGCAAACTGAACTTCAATGCTGTTTGGAAGCAAATAACCACTCAGGTAGTGGCCGCATTGGGGGCAACAGGAAAATGGTTTAACATCAATTCTTGGGCTAATTTGATACCAGGATTTAAAAAAACAAAACAAAAACCAGACATTCAGATCTATGCTAGGCTCTACTGTTGCCTAAGATCATTTTTTTTTAAATAGTGTGTGGTAATTTTCAACCACAAAATACTTATTCGCAGCTAAGTAAATCTTTCCAGAAGATTTAGTTGATCATCTGAAATTACTTCATCCGGATTCCATGCAGAAAATATTATTCGGAGCCTGTGCCGCCCACATAGCATCTGCCGGCATCTCCGTGAAATCCCTGCTCTGGGAACCGAGCAGCAGGACCCGCGCGAGTCCATGAAATACTTCTGTAGAGTTGCCGGCAGGCGTAGCTCGAGCGCCTGTGCGCGCCGAATCACCTTCGAATGTGGGTCGTTCGACCACTCCGAATGCCTGACCGCTCTGGAAAGGAATGTGCTGCTGCCCGCAGTGGTTTCCCCACGACGATGGTGCTATTAGGGCTATCTGCAACGACCCGTTTCCTTTTACAGCACTTAAACTTGAGGGACTAACCCGGAGGGAATCGCCTCTTTTAGTTGAAAACCCAGAAGTAGCCGCGCAAACTTTGACCCGTATTCGGAGAGAGGGGAGGAGGACGAGAAGATGTGGCGAGAGGCACGTGGGAAAAGTCGCTGCCTTAATTGGATTCTGAGCGGGCTCTTACCTGTAAAGCTTTACATCGATCCTTTTTTTCTCTAAAGGCAGCATTTCTACGTTAACAAAAGACACGGGAGCCGAGAGTGCGGTTTAGCACCGAGTGCTGGATAATAATCCGCGCCGCCCTCGCTTCCTTTTTTGAGGCCGCGGCTGGCGAAGTCCAAGCACCCTTCGGGGCGCCGAGAGAACGCGCCGTTTTTGTAAAGGGCGTTCCGGTACTCCCTTGTCGAGCGAGCTCTGATCTACTCCCCTTTTTCCCCTCCGCGGTTTGGCCCTGGGTTTACATTATGACCTAGGACGGGGTTGTTCTGCAAGCAATGCCATAAAAGCCCGTCATAAAAGTTTTATACGTAGTTCAGCAGGGGAGGGCTGGAGCTGGGCGCAGGAAAGGGGCCCTTAGCGAGGCGGCTGGCCTGCCAACGCCGCCCGAGTTCGCAGGAAGGGGCCTGTGGTGGCTCCGCGCCCAGCATGGGGGTGACCGTGGAGGCCCACAGAGTTTATAAATATCCTTTCGAGCAGGTGGTGGCCAGCTATCTCCGCAAGGTAAAGCGGGGAGCGCGACGGTGCGCTCCTCCTCCCCGAGCCCTGGTTCTCTGCAGCTTGGCGCGAGCGCGGCCAAGTCCCCGGTTCCCCGTCTCCGTTACGCGCCCTGCTCATAAAAGGCCCGACGCTTGCAGCGGCACGTCCGCTGCCGAATCGCTGGGGGGCGGGGGAGATGCTGCTTTTGCGTTGCACTCGAAAGAAATGCCGCTCAGAGCCGTCGCCCGCCCGAAAGTATATTATATACAGTTCAGCTGTTGGGGCTGGGAAAAATGGCGGCGGCGCAGTCAAACGTCCTTGTTTTTAAGTCGGTTTGCTCCAAAGCCCTTGTGTGCGCAGCCCTTTGACTGCGACGAAACGAGGCTGTAAACGTCCTCGTCGAGTGTATCCGCCGCCTTTTTCTGTTTTTACCTCTTTGGATCGCGGCTCTCTGCTTCCCTGTCAGCTATCGCATAAAATGCGGTTAGCCTTGTTGCTTCTTTGCCTTTGAGGGTTTGGGGGGGGGGGGAATCGACGGAAAGAAAGTGCTCGCGAACTTTTGTGTGAGTTTGCGTGCTTTTTTCTTCCTCAGCGATTCCTGGTGGAGGGATGCTCTTTGTTTTATGCGTGTTTTGCATTACCAAGTGGCTCTGTGCTTCGTTCTTTATACATTTTTCTGCCTTGGATAATTCCCAAAGATGGTTTAGTTTTATCGCATTCGAACTGTTTAAATCAAAACTGGTGCATAAACGCTGTGTTGCTCATGCATGTCAGACTCTATTGGCTACAACCATATTAAAATGATGTACATAGTTTCCATTGTTACTGCATTCTCATCCAGCCATAGACCCCAACATAGGTGAACTAATTTAGAGAAGACTATCTCTCAAAAATGAGAGGAATGATTAATTTTAAAAGTCAAAATCAAAAATTTGAAATTAGACAGAAACCAGACGAGATCTATTTTAATTCGGGTAAGATTAGAATTTTACCAGTTTTCTATATTTTGCAGGGATTTACTTTTCTGAATTCTATTTGAGAGGCCCACAAAACATTGATTAACAATAGTTAAATTTACAAAACACAAAAACCTAAATTGGCCCCAATGTTCCAGGTTTGGTTGCAGTGATGGAAAATTAGAGAACTGTTAAAATCCATTTGTGGCCTTGGTTATTACGTAAGCTGTAAGCAATAACTCTAGAAAATGTTAAGTTCATGAAAGAGGACAAATGTTAATCCTGCATGTTGTATTTATTTTGGAATTTGTCCTGATTTGTCCATGTGCAGTGGCCAGATATGGCTTACAAAAAGTTGCTGTGTAATGTTTTGAGTCTTTTAAAACATTGGAACATTGTGGGAGAAACATAGACAGTAGCACAGATATGGTAATTTAAAAACTGTTAAACCAAATTGCGGAAGATTCAGATAGAGAAATTCTTCCCTACATGGAACCAAGTATTTTTTCTTTCTCTTTTTCTGGAGAATTATATCCCTAATTGTTAAGTCCCAAAGGTGCTTTTTCAGGAGGCAACTGGATGTTCTTGTTTTTCTTTCTTTGAAGACATTTCGCTTCTCATCCAAGAAGCTTCTTCAGCTCTGACTGGATAGTGGGGAATGGAAGGATTTATATTCCTTGCAGACAGCTGGTCAAGCTAACACAGTAGGCACTGATGACTGGAGCAGAAATTAAAACGTACAACAGTATTGAAACTATGTAGTGCATCCCTTATTGAATATCATTTTAAGTACTTTTCATAATGCTTGAGTTGAGTTTATCATTAGACTTTTAGTTAAAATTGGCTTCTGGAATTATATGTGTTCACTGTCCTTTTAGCTAGTCATGATGTGCGCTGTGCTTCTGCCTTTTTCCTTAAATTTATAAACTGCAGAGAGATGGGAGTACATAAATAATTAAATCCTTGGATTTTTCATATTGATGAAAAAACTGTAAGGACAGGATAACCAATGTAGTCATAGTCATCTGAACATAATTCTGTTTGAGAAGACTTTTGAAAACATTGTGTCTGGAAACTCCAATATATTCAACATAACCAGATATTGTACATAGACATATAAATAAGTTCTAACAATTATTTGAACTGAAAAGCATCTTTAGAAAAGTGCACTTCCCTTTTGCATTTATTGTGCTTCGGATTACAGTTTTAAAAGGGACATTTTTAAAGAGTGACATTCATTTCTTCCTAATGTATGAATTTCTGATATTGGACATTCTTGTTTTCCTTTGTCTTTATATGAATAGGGATGCACAAGTTGTTTAATTATATAGATTGCATAATATGCTGACTTTATTGCCCTCTAGCTGTGAATTTTTAGAAATGAAACTGAAGTAAAAGAAATAATTACTACTTGCCTGACTGATATCTACTCATCATACTAAGATCAAATGACCTAGTTCAAAACTATTTCTATTCTATTCAAGTTGAATAAAAGAATAGGTAATTTTTAAGCAACAAGGCACCTTCAATTTTATGGAGCTTTGTAATTTAATTCAACTTCACAGGTAGCCCTATACATGTGAACTCTCTTTAGTTTCTATTGTTCGATTTTTATTGTAAGAAAATAGATATCTACAGGTGTTTCTAACAGTGTAATCTCACTGCACACTTTATTTTGAATTACATTCATTTTAAAATACAATCTTCTTACTGTCTCATACTCTAACACACACAATAGAATCATATCCAGTGATTTAATGTAATTTTGCCATGTGTGTCTTATTAATTCCTCTATCTTCCTTTTAGGCATTATTCAATTCGTTGTTGTTAGTTTTGGTCATATTTTTCATTTTTTGAAAAGTCCATCATCTGCTCTCCAATATCTCATTTTAGTCTCCTAGCTCAAGGGTCCCCAACCCCTGGTCTGTGGACCAGTACCGGGCCGTGGCATGCCAGCAATCGGTCCGCACAAACAAGGAAAACCTCATCCACAGGATGCAGGCAGCACACAAAACCACGTCCCCTTCAGTCCATGGGAAAACCTCTCCACATAACCAGTCCCTGGTGCCCAAAAGATTGGTGACCTCTGTCATAACTAAATCTTTTTCTCTCTCCCCCTTTCCCTGGTTTTCATTGTATATATTTAAGTATATGAAACATATATATCTATATACTACTAAAACAGAATGTCATAAAGCATTTCCCGTGGTCAACTGCTGATGTTTGATTATATAATACAGTTCAACATGGGTTGTGTTCTAGGCAGATACATTTCTGAGTATCTCCCTGAATTTTTAAGAACTCTCTCAGTGCTTTAGATGCTCTCCCATTGAGGAATCTGGTAAGCAAATATCTCTGAAACGATGACTTTAACTGGGCAAAACTCAAATGGCTAACTTACAGAATCTGTCCAAAATCTGGGTCTTTTTCAATGCTGTCATAACTTTGAACAGTCATTAAAAATGGTTGTGAGTCGAGGAGTACCCCCCTCTCTCTGTATCTAATCTAATCTAATCTAATCTAATCTAATCTAATCTAATCTAATCTCTAATCTATCTCATGAAAGCATATTCCACCTGCACAAAGCATTGAACTGGGGCAGTGTGCCTTGATTGTTACTTGCTTTTGATAAAAGTCACTTTTGTTGCCTAAAATGAAGCACTGTGGATGATGGTTGTTTAAAAGGGATACGGTGGCACTCAACAGTTTACTCTGAAGGAGTGTTTTCCTTCAGGTAAAATATCCTTCTGCATTTCTGAATAGTCTTGAGATAAGCCAGGAAATCATGTAATTCTCTTCTTGCTTTATTTGTTTGTGATATTTGTGTGTCCCAGATCTGCCAAATATTCCCACTATATATGCATAAAAATAATCTGATCTGATTCTTATTTATTGAATTCATTTACACAGTTGACCACAAGATGGCATTAAATTGTTTTGAAGGCCCTGATCTAGTTAAAGAAGTTTGTGTATTTAGAAAATATTAACCTTGTGCACTGTTAAAGGTTTCCATTAAGGCTGCTGATCTATATTTTCATCTCTTCAAAACAAACATCTCTTCAACAGTGAAATATTCCATCATGCTACATGCCCCTTTCGTTTTCTTTTCCATTTTAATCTCCTGTTTTATATTTATATATAATTTTTATTCAGTTAATGACACTGTCAAACCATTAATTGTATGTAACGCTATACAAATGGAGATGTAAGTTCCTTCTTGCTTTCATTTTGTTTTTCCTGTATAAATGTGGTATTGCATTTTACAGAAATCTACAACTAACCCAGTCTTGAAATGTTTACATCTAATTCAAAATAGTTGAGATGACATGTTTAGATGAGTGACAGACAGGATGAGACCATCCCCTTAAAAGTAATCAAGTGACTTAGATGCTCTTTTAAAGCAAGTAGTTTTCTGAGGATATCACATGAGTCTTTCAGAAGTGAAAGGACTCCTTTTGTTTCAATAACAGCTTTTGATTCCATAATGTGCTGCCATTCCCAACTCCATCATCTCAGAGAGACATCCAACTGCCTGGAGCACCTGGGAGGCAATGGGACCTGCAAGGCATGAGCCAAAAAAAAACCCAATTATTTCCCCCTTTTCACTGTTATTTAAAGAGCACTACATCAGTGTGTAGGTTTTCCAGAAACTCTTGAAGATAATAACTGTAAATCATGGTAGTTTTAATAGGGTAAGTTGCAGTTTAAATTAAAAAAAGAAATCCAAATATGAATCACCATGTGTATAGTATATGCATGAAAATCCCTGCCCACAACTTTGGTTTTCCAAGCTCAGTTTATATTCTTTGGCTTTCTGATATGAGAAAATTAGAATGAGTGTGAGGTGTGTTTTTATGGACTGGCAATGAGAATCTCTTAATTCTAGTCTGTTTTGCTTCCCTTTCTTTCAGTTTGGGACTGGGTTTAAGCATGTTCTGAGAAAAAGCCATACTTATATTAATTATTTTAAATTCTTAATAAACTTAATAAATGCCACATAAATTCCTGTCAATATTTTTTTTTTACAAATTTCTAGGATGTTTTGCAGAGGTTGCATCTCACTTTCTATTCCATTGAACATTTTGAATAAAATCCATCTTGTGATTCTGTTTACTGTATGAAGATTTTTTTTCACTGAGGAGTCAAGTTGGGAATATGACAGAACCCTCTACACTTAATCTATAGAGAATTTCTCCATTTGACCAGTCAGTATACATTCTTGTTCAGTTTTCCTGTTCAGCTTACCTCAGCATAAAGACATAGATCTTATAACAGAGGAACATTAATGTGCAATGCAAAGCAAAAATCTACCTGATTTTGGAAGAAATTTCTTTTGCACATTTCTTGTGAAATTTGACTTGTATGTAATTTTGTTCATTTTCTTACCTATTATTTTAGGTAATAAGCTGTAATAGAAAGCAGTTGGGTTTTCATGACATTGATCTGGTTTATGTCAAAGTTACAATAAACTATAACTGCTAATTAAAATATCTCAATTCATCTCTCTGGAATGGCATACAAAATTTAAGTTACTTATGTTTTAATATGTGTTGGTAATGGAATCTGGTGTTTAGTGGGAGATTTATGCAAATGACTTTTTTGTTTCGCATGAATGGATCTTATAGATTGTAAGTTTCATTGATTATGTAATTACACTGTAACCTGCTATTTGAAAGAAATAAGCAGAATAGAAATGCCTGATTTAATTGCCATAAAGGAATGCTTAACACCCTCTTCTTCCGTTGAAACTTCCCTGCAATACCGATAGAAATGTATGTTATAGTTACTATTTTATTCTGAAAATTTACTTTTCATAGCATTTGTGATTACTAATATATACACATATATCTGAATTTTACGATTATGGTATATTCCATTTATTGCTACAACCTTACGTGTAGTTTTACCATTCACAGTTCCATTTTGATTGGTTCCTTGTTTCCCCCCCTATATATTTACTTGAATATGTTCTACCATCTACTGGTATGTTTGTACATTTGTGCACTAGTTTACTGAAGTAAAATATCATTTTATTTATTTTTTTTAAAATGCATTGATTACAATAGTTGCATTATACTAATTTCTGAGCTCAGAAAGTTTTTAACTTAAAAAAGAATAGTTAAGATGAGAAGGAATAGTAACTAGACATGTATGAATCATTAAGATCTGACTTGAATCTGGGATTCAAAAGTAGCATAATTAAATCTAAATTCAGGTTTCAAAGGCAACATAATTTTAACTGATTGGAGATTAGATTTAGAAAAGAAATGGACAATATGCTATTGTAGGGAAAAGTATCATTGTGTGCAACTACTCTATTTAAAATATTTTTTGGGAGAATGATGAAAATAGCAAGGATGTTATACTCTTTGAAGGACAATTATCTTGAAAAATTGGGTAGCTGCAAGGATTTGATCATAACCTATTTTTGGAATATTCCCATGAAGAATATTCCCACCGCAGAGATAGCAGAATGAGGAAACAAGCTTCCAAAATGTCAGGCAAAGAATCTATTTTAAAATGGTGCTGAAATATTCCCTCCCTCCCCCCTCTCTTTTTCTCTTTCCAAGGCTCTGAGCAACTAACAACCAGGAACATAGGAAAAGAGCCCTCAATAAAAATAAATAAACTTACCAAAAATAATCTCAACAGTATCATGAGGAAATTAAAAAAAGGAAACAAAAAAAACACAATGTGTCTGTTTCTGCATCCCAACATTCAAAGATTGCCTTCCCCA